TTTTCCTTTTGTAGGCAATCTCATTCTGCGATTCCGGATGGGGTCATAAAGGGAAGTGGTAATTGGCTGCTCTACGAAATTGGAAAGGCGCCAACCGTCGTTCCAGACCAGTCTTTTGCATTCGGTTTTTTGTTTACCTAGATGACTGTGCCACTCAAGAAGGTAGACATACCGCCGAATAAGTTGTTAGTTTTCAACTGCCGCTTGAATTCTATTCGATTAACGTTGCTACGTTGTTCCAGTATTTATGTTACTCTTCTCTGCCCTATTTTTCCGCATTGGCGAATGAACTCGTAGTTGTTTGCTGTACCTCGATCTGCTTTTATGTTTCTTGTCTTGGTCCAGCCATTGCTGTTCCTCTGCCTTGCAGATTAATAATTTTAGTGATGACTACTTGCTGTTCCCTTCTTATGTTCGGGCTGCAAGTTGCGATTGAACTCGTTTTGGGGCCTCCTCTCCAGCACATCTTGCATGGAACATTATCGGTCTGAAGGATTAGTAAACCTTCAAGCATACTTAGACGAGCATTATCTGTGTGCTAACCATTGTCGCCGCAAAAAATGAACTCAATATTACATAGAGGACGTTTCTCAAATAATTATCGCAGTTGTGAGTAGAAGCCTCGGGGTCGCCACCCCTGAGATTGGGCATGGCTGGCTAATGGCTAATAAGCCAGAGACGACGATTCCAGTTTTAATTGCCTTTGTTGGTAATGCATTTCTGTCTCTAATATTTTAGCGGTTGTGCGGCTGCTAGCGAGACTCAAGAGTGAATCCAAACGTACAACGGAAAAAGTGAGTTCTGTAACCGATCGGCGAGCGCCTACATACCACTATAGAGGCCGTTTTTACCAATCTGGTCGACAGGGTATGTTGAGTCTTTAGTGGAAATGATGGCGTGTTTATTCCAGTGGCCTTTCGGTCGTACCAAAACCAACTAGTCATTGGCTAATTTTTTCGTGAGAAATGCTTGATTTGACCTTAATCAAAGGGTTAGCGTTCCACAGTGTTTACCCCCCAAACCGAATTCGCATCTAGAATTGTGACTGAGTGCGTCTGGAATATTGCCTTCAGGCAGCCAGTGCGTTGTACCGCTGCTGGTTCTGTGTTATTTAGAGTTCGCATGTTTCAACTTCCTTTGCGCACCAACCGCTTTAGTCTGTGTGGTCAGCTGTGTCCTGATCTATGCTCTGATCTGCTTTATAGGTAGTTCTGGCTCCGTATTTCACTAGCCGGTTCAACCGACGCTCTGCAGCTTCCCAAAATGGAGGACTTCAGCCTCC